CCTCCTTTGACTGCTGGTGGAAGCCAGTAAAAAGGCCTCAACACAAAGAGCAGAAAAAGATGGCAGTGTCCTCCTGCACCCATAAAACAAGCACTCACAATCATTGACTTGAATTTATCCTGAGATGCTTAAATAAAAACTTGTGTACAACTTAAAAAAAAAAACTTGTATACAAAAGGAAATCAAAAGTTAAGCTTCTTAAAGAGCCATTAAGAAATTTATTAATGAGAGTACAGTTGGTAATTATATTGCAAGAGCTAATCAAAGATAGCCAATTATTAGTTTAAGAACTTGACCCTTAAAAAATAAACTAAGAAAGGCTTGGCTCCTGAAGCTCAGCAGCTAGTGCACTAGCCACATACACTGGAGCCGAGGGGTTCGAATCCAGCCCGGGTCTGCCAAATAATAATGACAACTACAACCATAAAAAAAAAAAAAAAAAATACCTGGGCATTGTGGTGGGCACCTGTAGTCCCAGCTACAGGGGAGGCTGAGGCAAGAGAATCGCTTAAGCCCAAGAGCTTGAGGTTGCTGTGAGCTATGATGCCACAGCACTCTACCAGAGAGACACAGTGAGACTCTGTCTCAAAAAAAAATTATAAATAAAATAAACTAAGAAAAAGAGCAGCCAGACTGCAAGACCCTGGGGATTCAGAAGCCTTCATGGGAGTGCAAATCAGAGCCTGAGCTGATTGTTCTCTGTCTGTGGAACTTGTGCTTGGGAGTCAGGTTTAAATTTTCTCACTTTGGGGTAAACAAATAGAAACTACTGAAATGATGAAAGTATTTTTGTATAAGCACAAAAGTTCAGTTTTTCTAGGGGGATGACAGATCATTTTTATCAGATTCTTATAGGGATCTATAAGTTGGAAAACGTTAAAACAGTTTTCTAAACAGCAAGATTTTTTCTTGCTTCTTTAGACAGACTCTGAAATTTCTAATTTTCTACATTAAATATGTAAAACTTTAAACAAAAAAAATGAGAAATAAAAACTAGGGGCTA